GAAAAAAAGAAATGAGGCCGGATTTGGGCTGTACTTGGAAAGCGCAGCAAGGCCCTGCAGGCCAAAAAAAATAATAAAAAAAATTCAGTGGTTTTTTTTCATGCCCGGGGTACCCCGGGCGAGGTCCCTACCCGGGCGTGGCGCCCGGGCGAAGCTAGTTTTCTAGGGCAAAAAGAAGAAGATGGTCCTATACTTAGATGGCACAACCGATAAACCATCCTGCCCCAGATAAATATTGTGAAAGAGGTTTGTTGGTCCATTAGCTTTTTTTTCATTTTGCCTCTCCAATGAAGGCAAACAAGTAATATAATAAATTAATAATTACTAATATCTTACCTATACCCCCCTCCCCCCTCCCCCCTCCTTCCTTCCTTCTGCCATTAGCTGACAGCCGCTCAAATCTCTATGAAATTGGACAAATATCATTGAATTTAGACAATTATAGAGTCTTTTGGACATTAACCGTCGCAAATGTTCTGATTGAATTTGGCTATGTTGAATAAAGAATCTTCCATTTTGAAATTGAACATCTACTATGAATTGCCAAATTAATTAACGAATTTAACCTTCCATTAACTCGACGCATTCCCTGCATATATCGATGTATTCTAGTAAATGCTTGCGTCTGAATTCCGAGTACTCCCAGTCTCCATACAATCCCGACTTAAAATCATCGCGGAAGACATAGATGAGGGCCTTGAGGACTGTTGCATTCTCTGTTTTCTTGCCTGTCATCACCGGCTCCTTGTTGTGCCCTTCCCCCTTCTCTCTTTTTTGTCCGCCCCCGACTTCTACAGTACCCTTTTCGCCTTCACTTCCCACTTGCGATCTGTTTGGGCCGACGTTTTCTCCTCCTCGGTCGAAACAGGACTGCTGGGCCTGGGAGTCCGTATTCTTCTCGGCGTCATCCCGCACTGACTCGGGTTCTTCCTGTTGTGCTGACTTTGCTGCTCCGCGCGATACGTTGTATTTACTACTGGTTTTGTCATGAGGGATGACTTCTTCGGAATTGTCCGCGATCTGGCTCTGCTGCCGTGCTTCCACTGCCGCATCCACATCCGTGCCGCGGTGTGGAGCTGGCACCGCTACTTCGAGCACGCCACCTTCTACCTGTGGCGAGTTGGCCACCGGTAATGACACGTTGTCACCTCGAGCACTGCCACTGCGCGGGACAACGACAACGTCGACCCCTAACCGAATGTATTCATCGGCCTCGTACCAATCGAGAATATCTAGCTCCTTCTTCGTCAAATTCAACAGAAGTCGACCATCTATCTTCCCGCCAGGCAAACGGTAGGCGGCTGGGTAAGGGCGTCCAATTATCGAATGCCTGTGATAGTCTTCGATGTAGCCGAAAGTGCTCTCCGGAACACGGTTCAGCAGTGCCATCAACAGTTCGTCCGCCAAGAGAGTGCCATATACGAAAACATTATGTACCTCGTCCAGCGCAGATCCATCACATTCCTCTTCTTCACCCTCAACACCCACTTGCACCGGCACATAACCAGTTTCCGCCGCCACGGATGCTGCCAGCGGTGTCATCGTCTGTTCGCACCCGTGCGGGACGACGAAGCTGTGCACTGCGCTATCTCCAAATTCAGAGTCGTAGGGATCTGGGTCTTCTTTGCATGCTGAGCGCTTATACGAATTGCGAATCCGCCCTTCTGCACGAAATGACTAAACCCACCAATGTTCAAGGGGGGCTGCATTCAGTCAATTACAGTGTGAAAAAAAAAAAAAAAAAAAAAAAAACTATGTAATGCACCAGTGCCGATCTCTGTTGTCAGCAGATTCATTGCACAGGACTGCAGTGCAGTGTGTGTGTTGGTGGTGACCAGGGAGAAGAATGATGGCCCTCGCTCCACTGCACAACAGCCTACCGTCTTCCCCCGAACATAACGCACCCTAAAAATGAATGTATACAAGCTATATTTCCGGCCAGATACAGCCAAAATAAGGGTGCGTTGTGTTTGGGGGAAGATGGTAGTACATGGCATGTGGAGTGTGATGGATCAGGCACATTCGGACTATATCCAACATTTTGAACGTATCGGGATCATTACCAGCTACAGATACATGTAGAATGTTGTCCGGTGAGCGAGGCGCTGTGGCAGAAAATACAGGCAAGAGAAGCAGAACACAAAGGAAACACAAAACATTTGTCAAAGACAGCGATCCTCCACAGACCTGGGGTGTAGGTCCCAGTAGCAAAGAGGGCTTGACTATGTGCCTGAATCTGGATGTGTTTTAGGAAGAGGTTCAGAAAAGCAGATCAATCGTGATTGTCTGCAACCTCTCCACAAACATGCCCAGATTCAAGCGTTACATCCAATCCTCTTTGCTTGTGGGACTGCAGCCCCGGGCGTAACGGAACATAAGTGTTTTTTTTTTTTTTTTTTTTTTTTTTTAATACAAAAAAGAGGAGGCCTAACCACCCCCTACCAGCTGGAATCTTCACCAGAAAAAAAAAAAGAAACAAATGTAATGACCCGTCAAAACACAGACTGAGAACACTGCTGATTTCTGAAGTTCTGCCAATGGAATGGATGCCTTGCTGAGATTCCCGCATTCTGCTGCGTTTTCCAAGTCTGTCTGTGTAAGCGTGCTTGTGACCTGCGTGCCGTCTGAGTGCTTGTTGGAATGAGTGTGTGTGACCCGCAAGGGTACTTGCTTGTTTGGYAGGCCCGTAGGGCCGGTACTTACCTGTGGCCGTGGCATTGAGGGTAGTAGCAGGGAAAAACACTCAAGTGGCGAAGCTAGCGGCCCCACGGCCCTTGGGGTAGCAGAAAAACACTCAAGTAGGCCGGTAGGCCGATACTGCACCCCACTGCAGTTGGCGTGAGGGGGTACTGGAGGACGAGCAGAAAAAAGACAAAGTTGGCATTTTTAGAGTCCAGTAGCGGTAGGGTAGGTCTAGGCCGGTACCAGTCCAACCAGTCTGAGTCTAGAGCCTGTACGGGTAATATCAGGGTCTGCAATGATGTTTCCCTCCGAAACGGAGGAAGTACCGGTTGCTTGGAGAGGCCGAGCGGCCTGAAAGTCACCGCCCAGGAGGCAAGTAGGCCGCTATATCAAGAGGCAGGGCGGAGAGCCCAGCCTCATTCTTCAGTGTGCAAGTTTGGCAACACGCTGCTGGAGCGCTGGCTGGAGTAGCGCTGGGTACCACAGCGCTGCTGGGAGGAAGAAGCCGGGAGCTTCCACCTTGGCTATGGTGGAGCTCCACCGGTAGGAGGAGGAGGGAGAAGGGGACCAAGGGGGAGAGTGGCGAGGTACTTACTGGCTATGGTAGACACCATCTTCATCTCCTTGCTAGGCGCTGCATCAGGAAGGCCCCGGTGGGGGTAGTGCCGCATCAAGGAAGCTCCTGACAGAGTCAGGCATGGTGGCTGAGTGGGCAGCGGCATAGCTGCATGGTGATGACCTCGAAGTGGGGCAGCGGCATAGCTGCTTCGAGTGGTCCTTTGGACAGGAGGCTGAAGCCTCAGTAGTCCACCATAGCCTCGGCCTGCATATAGAGGAAGTGGAAGGGTTGCCATGGCTATGGTGGACCTCATGTTGTGCCTGCAGTAGAAGTGGGATTCGGACATTGATTCTGGTTCAGTCATTCAACATTATTATTGTTATTTCTTGTTTGAATAAGAGGGAGGAGATAAGGAGGAAGGGATTGGTTGGCGAAGAAGAAGAGCCTTGACATTGGTCTATGCTGGAGTACATCATCATCTTCTTCTTTCTCACTTCTTCTTCTTCTTCTTTCCCTCTCTTTCCTCTCAAGTTCATTCATTTCTTTTCGCAATTGGATGGCATTGTACTTTCAGATGAATGTATACTTCGAAAAAGGCCAGGATCGTAACACAAAACAAAATCCAGGAGCAGAGAAAGAGCAGATAACCTGCCATTCAATGAAAGGAAGGAGAACCAGGAATGTTTTCTTAGGGGGGGGGAAAGAAAAGAAAAAGGAAATTAAGGAATCATGGTTTTTGTTGGGGGGGGGGGGGRGGATTTTCGAAATGCCCTTCCGACTACCATTTATTCGCGGTATGCCCCTCTGATGGCCGACTTACCCTGTCGCACCCCTCTTACAACGACTGAAGTTTCTGAAAAAAAACATGGTGTCATTTGGGCCTGAAATACTAGGCTACCAGCCGGGCCGCCCGGGTCCCAGGTGGCCAGCCCGTGCAAGGACCAGGGAAGGTCCCAGCAAAACAAAAAACACAAAAAAAATCCAAAAAATCCACAAAAAGATTATGTTATGCAGAAAAATAAATTGAACAACTTTTTTTTTTTTTTTTCCCAAAACAAAAGGCTAATTCTTTAAGCCCAACCAATTCAATTACCTGTCAAATCTGGACAGGACGGCCTTTCAGGCCTTTTTTATTGTCATTATAGTATTACGGGGAACCCCGTAGCAGCCACATCCGTGCTCGAGCCTCCAACGAGGGAACATGCGGGAGATGCACCCACCAGCAGGTGCGATACCTCAGGGTCACATCGAAATTCTTCACCAAATTCAAAATACAAAATAAAATTTAAAAATACATCATGGTAACCGCCCGGATGTCCGGACCGGGTTCCAGACAGTCCGGTGTCCGGTGTCCGGTGTCCGGAGTCTGGTCCCCGTGTCCGGATGGAGGCCCCTGAGGCAAAAAAAAAAAGAAAAAAAGGGGTGGCCCAGGACGTTTGTAGGGTCCTAGCCGCCCCTCGAAAAATAACGGAGTGATTTTTTTTATGTGTCGTTTCACCCCACCGGACATGGCCTAGAGGTCCAGACACAAGACACTGCAGGTTTTTGAGGTGGCGGGTTTCGCACAGGCCCGAGCAATTTCAAAGCGGCCGTTTCAATGTGGCGCCCGCCGCTGCTGCCTGTTGGGGAGGGAGGGGGAGAGAGAGAGAGAGAGAGAGAGAGAGAGAGAGA